ATAGTGATACTGCCTCAGAAACCGAAGGAGGGGTCGCTATGAGTCGGGGCCGACTCGAGGGCACATAACAACAGCAACAACAAGAAAACATTTGCCAATGTTTCATTCAAGGACATTACTTGCATTCATCATGGTGTACAACCATCTCCATTATCTGTTTCCAAATGATTCCATCGCTGCTGACAGAAGCTCAGAGCCCCTGAGTCCCCCTCCCTCTCACTCCTGGCCATCACTAATGAACTCTGGTCTCTATACATTTGCCTAGGCAATATTGTGTATAAGTGGAATTATACCATACTTGTCTCTTTGTGTCTGGCTTATTTCAGTTAGCATAAGGTTTTCACGGTTCATCCGTGAAGCAATTATCACAACTTCATGTCTCTTCATGGATGAATAGTATTCCCTCGTATGTACTGGTATCAGCATGTTTCACAAGCTGCCCAGATGAGTCTATTGCACTCCCAAGTTTGAGAGCCACCATCTTAAAACCAAAAAACCAGTTGCCGTCACGTCAATTCTGACTCATGGTGACCCCATGTGTATCAGAGTAGAACTGTGCTCCACAGCGTTGTCAAAGGCTGATTTTATGGAAGCTGATTGCCAGGCCTTTCTTCGGAGGCATTTCCTTCAGTTAGCGGCTGAGCAAGTGAACCATTTATATCACCCAGGGGTTCTGGCTACCATCTAAATCCAGAGTAAATAATGGCTGTGACAGCACCATAATTCCCTAACTTAAATATTATATGGTCATATTACACATTAGATGATTCACAAAAAGAAAACAATCAGCTGACCATTTAGATGCAGGGGAATTAAGAATAAGCTGTTTCCTTGAGGGGACTCGGTGACCCAAATTCACTCACCCCTGGCAAGTGGAAGATTTGCTCCCAGTGAATGTTTCACTCACCCTAGCCTGAGGCCAGGCCTGGGGATGATGAAAGCCCCCGGAAGCTTGGTGCTGATGAGTGACCCCCCAGTCTGCACATAACTTGGGGCTCTCAGCCTGGTAAAAGTGAATGTGTCCAAGAGGAGAGGAAGTGAGCTCTCAAGCCTCGGGTCCTGCCTCTCTGTGGACAAAGGATCTGGCCAGGGGCAGTGAGGGGCCTTCCCTTACCCAGAATCCTTTGGAAGTCCCTCCAGGCCCCAATTCCCCTGGGCTCCAGGCCCCCTGCATGAAATGACCTCCAGTAGCACAAGAGATTTTAACACAGGCAACACCAGCACCACAGAAAAATTGAAAGTGCAAGGCTGTTTAGCTGGGACTCAAGTCGCTAAGCAATTGTTTATTTCTGGACTTTCATGTTTCCAGCAGCCAAAAGCAACGCCCAATCAGAACCCTAGAGTGGCATTGCTTCTCTCCCATGTTACAAATGTCCTGGACTGGGGTCACTTACCAATCAGATGGCCTTAACTGGTAGCAGCTGATATCATTCTGACACTGTTTATAACGTCGTGTGAAGCTGAGTGTTGTGCAACTTTTTATCAGCGTCCAAGCCCAGCCGAGCCCCAACCAGCACTACTGAGAAACCCCACACCAGCACCTTGGCCTTGTCACCAGTGACAGCAACCTGGTCCAGGTGTCGCCGACAAGGAGGAACCTTCAGGTTATCATCTCATAGGCTCAGTTTCTTCATTTGTAAATGGGGATGATAAAGTCCCAACCTACAAGGTTGATGTGGGGATCAAATTGTTGTTGTGGTTGTTGTCAGCTGCTGAGAAGTCGGCCCGACTCAAGGGGGCGCCATGAACAAAGGAACAAAATGCTGCCCAATCCTATGCCATTCCCATGATAAGTTGCAAATCCAACCATTGTGATCCATAGCATTTTCCTTGGCTGACTTTTGGAAGCAGAACAGCAGGCCTTTCTTCCCAGTCTGTCTCAGCCTAGAAGCTCCACTGGAACCTGTTCGGCATCACAGCTACACGCAGCCTCCACGGAGAGCCGGGGGGGGGGGCTGTGCTTGAGGGGCACTGCCCGGGAATCAAACCCAAGCCCCCTGCGTGGAAGGCAAGAATTCCTCCACTGACCCACCAATGCCCTGGAGACCTATTTAGATTGTGTACGTGATAAAGGAAAGAGCTCTGGTACAGTAGTGCCTAAAGCATTTGACTGCTAACCAGAAGGTTGGTGGTTCAAACTCACCAGCCACTCCACAGAAGAAGGAGGACCAGGCAATCTACTGTGGTAAAGATTTACCTCCTTGGAAATCCAAAAGGGAGTTGCTATGAGTCGGAACCAACTCGCTGGCAGTGCGTTAGCTTTGGTACATGATAGAGGATGTGAAGGGCAAATAGTAATGACGTCATAATGAGCACCATGACCCTCATCAGACATTAGAACTGGAAGGATCACAGATTGTTCTGTGCCAGCCCCTTCATTTTACCGGGGAGGAAACTGAGTCCCAGGAAGGGTGAAACACAGGCCCAAGTTCACGAAGTTAACAGTGGCACTAGAATTACAAAAAAAGAGGTCATGAGTCCCA